CTTTGTCACGTTCGACATGTTAACGTTCATCAATGTAGTGGACGAGGAGACAACAATGGTCTCGGCAGTGGTCTGTGAGTCTGGGCTTGACATTATCAGAGAAAGAGAGAAGAGCAGAGGCTAGAGTGGAGCTTAGAGGAGGAAGAAAAAGAAGACGAGAGAGAGAGGCGGCTCAAAATTTTATTTTATTTTCTTTTAGGTTTAGGTATCGATATGCTCTGATACCATATATAATAGAATGCCCAATCTTATTACAATGAGGTGATTACAATATATATAGTGAGATACACAAGTGATTAGGTAATACATAATTACATATATATCCTCTCTCTTACACAAACTATACCCTAAAGCCAAAGCAGATGATTAAACCCAAGGAAAACACATTTAACGACGCAATGGTGTTCAAAACTATACCCTAAAGCCAAGACAGATGACTAAACCCAAGGGAAACCAATTAATTTTGCTGTGGCAATCAAAACTATGCCCTAAATACAAGACAAAATGAAAGAACCCTAAGATAAAACATTTAAACTCACAGTCACACTGATAAAATTCGCATTGACAAAAATTATTTCCTTGCCCTCATATAAAGAATTCAGTTCCTTAACGATTGTTGAAACTGGAACGACTGACAAAGACGAATTAAGCGGGTGAAACACATAAAAGAACTTCACAACATTTGGTAGTTTAAAGCAAATGGGAAGCAGATAAACACACACATCTTATTATATAAAATTGGGTTTTCGAATTTAGCAATTAACAAGATCGTGACACATGTTAATTGAATTAATAAGATGTCGACACATATCAAAAAATTAGTGGTAAGAAATTATATAAATTAGTTTTCTAAAGAGAATACTTTCAAACTAGAAAAAGAAATTAAAATTTCAGGTAATTTAACAATTACTTAGTAGTAATCCTAAAAGAAAAAGGATAGTCTCGACCAGAAAAAAAAAAGAAAAAAGAAAAGGATAGTATTTATAAAATAAATTATTAATATAAAATTATAAAAATTAGGTCTAAAGAAAAATATTCAAAATAAAATAAAATTTAGTAAACTATAAGTTAATCTTAGAAAATATTTGCATTATCGTGAATATTATATAACATTTAAATATTTTCATTCAGTAATTTAATATGATCGTGACATGTTTCAATTGTATCGGTAAGATATTGACATATGTAAATTCAAGGTTGTATGTTGATATTTTTATGGGGGAATTTCAAAAATACCCCTTTTCATATACCTATTTTTAAAAATACCCCCTTTTCAAACTTTATCAAAAAACCCACTAAAAATATTGAAATTTATCCAAATATGTGTGTAAGCTTATAAATATATACACAAATTACCTTTATATGTTTATAAAACTTTATATACCTTTCATAAATAGCGTAAAAATAAATTATAAAAACCTTATAAAAACCTTATAAAAACCGTATAAACCCTTTTAAAAACCTTTAAAAACCTTATAAAAATGATTTAAAACTATTTAAAATATTTGTATCGAATCTCCCAGTAGTAGTTATTATATAGAAGTACCTTATAAAATATATAAAACTTTATAATTTTTTATATTTAAAAAGGGGTATTTTTGAAAATGGATAGATAAAAGTGGTATTTTTTAAAAAGGGGTACACCAAAAGGGGTTTTTTCTCAAAAATTCTCTATTTTTTTACATGTAGATAATTTATTTAACAAAATTATGTACATGAGTCACTCGAGTTTCCGAATACAACTAGGAACAAATCAGAGTAAATAAAGCAAGAGAAAACAGTTCAAGTCTTTTATGTCGATTTATGTTTATAAAAATAAAGAGTAGAGTTTAGATTACACAATTTAAATAAGGTTAATTATCGGTTTCAATTTATAAAAGAGAATTAAGATTCATATGGTATAAGTAAACGAGATTATGGGTTTAACTAAATATTTTTTTTTTTACTTTTTTCTAATATGTTATAATTGTTTAAATTTAAATATAATATGTTATAGTACAATTTCATTGGCTAAAACAAAAGGGTTGAATAAAAGGGAACTGAAAAAGAGATATTATTAACTTAAAATAAGGATACAAAAGTTCAATATAATTCGCAGTATAATGATTTCTAAAATAATTATTTTTTCAAATATGTACTTTTGTATACTTTCATATTTTTAAGAAAATCTTAATTCTTTTCTTGACGACACTATAACTCATTTTTTGGATTGATGTTAATTTGTAAAAAATTTACCATCAAATTTTGTAATAATTAATTAATTTTTTAAAATACAATAAATTGCGCAGTTAAAAATATATGCGAGAAATTTGTTTTTTAAACTCGAAGTTAGGCAATAATGTGTTTTTAGAATAATGGTATAATCATGTTTACGGTATAATTACTAATTTAAGTTCTTTTGAAAAATTTGGTAATAGTAATATTAAGAAAAATGGTGAATAGCTCACAATATTTTTGGTGATTCATAATATAACATTACTAGATTTTTATAATGAATGTTTAATTAGAATTTTTAAATATGTATGATACATAATTAGTTTGTTCAACAAAAATAATAATTACTAACTTAAAAAAGTATCTATGTTTTAAAAAATACTTTGGATATAATATTCTTACATTAAAATATTAAAGTTCATTATATTTTAAAAATAAATATCCCGTCTAATAGACGGGTCCTAGCTCCTAATCTATATTAGAAAATATAATATTAATTAATATTGATTTTTTTAATGTTATGATTATCCAAATTTTAACAGATGCAATATTTTTAATTCATATGTGAAAACATAAATAAATTAGAAAAGATAATAATTTTATAGGTATGAATCTTCAGTTATTGATGAAGATATTTGTATATCTTTAGAGAGGATTTTTCTATCTGAACATATTATAAAATTTTGTTTATGTAATGATTTAAAAAATTTAACACATGAAAACATAAAAAATGAGATAAATAATAATTTTTAGGTGTGAATTTTCAATTATTTGATGAAAAGATTTGTATATCTTTTGTTCTGTTTTATTTTATAAATTTTAACTCATTTAAAATTATTATAACATTAGATAAAATTTGGATTAACTTTTAACCCACGTTTTTACGCGGGCTCTTATCTAGTATATATATATATATATATATATATATATATATATATATATATATACCTTTAAACACCTTTAATTTGAATTAGAGCACAACATATTTACCTTTAATTCGAATCTCCACTCGTAGAAACTTACTATTTCTCTCTCAATCTCGCCAACTTGGCGAGATATTAGGAATTCTCTAATATTGTGTCAACAAAAGGATCATTTGTACAACCATCTACCCTAGAAAATAAAGCCATAAATAGAAAAGTGAACATAAGTTACCATGGTTTGCCTTACAAATTTTCCGTTTACATATATGATTCATTGGGTTTTAAGAGGAACGACCCCGAGTACTACATCATAAATAAGAGAGAGCATAAAATTTGGGCAGAGACGACGGTGGCGTAAAGACCACGGCGATTGTAGTCATGAATTGAGTGGCCTTAGAGCATCTCAAAGCCTAAACCTTAAAAAAAGTGCATAACAATATTTTATCAGTAAATTATAATTAAATAAAAAAGAGAGACGAAGAGAAAGAAATAGGAACATAAAGAGAGAGTGTCGGCGAAGAGGAGAGAGAAAGAGAGAAGACTTTGGTTTATTAGTGCACAACCAATGCTTTTCTGCCACATATTTTTAACAATCGACCCTTAAATCACTTATTTAAGACTTCCTCTTTAGCAAATTAATGATTTTTGTATTTAATTTTAATGATACTATACCTAAGAACTTCATATTAAACCTCCCTTTGAAGGTGCTCATAGTTTCCTTGATTTCTCTGTCACCACTACGACACGCACAACCGCACTAGATCGGCGTATATGCATAATTCTCAACTATAATAGTAGGAACGAACCTCTAAGAATACAAAACCAAATCAATAGGGAATTGCACTGATTGATGTCGACAGAGAGCCAAAAAAAATCTGACATGAACAGGAAACCCTTTTCCACAATTTTGAAACTTCAATATATCAATGGAAGAGAGAGATCGACAATCTTATTAGCATGATGAGGATTAAAGACTCATTATGTTTGGTTTGAGTGCCTAAAATAGAAGACCATTTGGTAAGTACCAAAATACGAAAGTCATTTGTGTTTTGATGCTTATTTTTTAAATAACTCAAACCATCATGGTCCGATAAGCACACCCCATATAATTATTTGCAAATTATAAGTGAACACATACAAATATTTTAAACAAGAAATGAGCTTATTATTATTGGGAAAATGTCATAATATCCTGAACTTTCAAATTTTGGAACGATTTAATCTTGAACATCCAAAACGTTATTTTAATCACAAAGTTTTTATTGACTTTCCTATAAAATAGTTAAGTTTTATTGACCTCGCCGATTTAAGCACGACATTTAATCTCTCTTAAAAATTCCGAAGAAGGGGTTAACTATTCGTGAGCTGCTTCTGTTTAACAAAATCGATCATGTTTTATAAACAATGAAACAATATTGGAAGTCTGTGCCATAGCAACAATTCAAAAATATGAGGATTTTCTAAGGTTAGGGATTTAGATTTGTAAATTGTGAATCAATTTTGGGATTTAGATATTTCAATTTCTTAAACAACATAGGTTTCTGGTTTTATAAATGTGATCTTTTAGGCTTAACATAAGCAGTTCATTGATAATTAACCCCGTTTTCGCGATTTTAGCAAAGAATAAAAATCATTCTTAAATCAGAAAAGTCAACAAAACTTAGCTATTCTATGAAAAAAATCAATATAAATTTTATGATTAAAATATTTCTTAAAAATTTAGGATTAAATTATCTCAAATTTGAAAGTTTAAGTTTTTGTTTTAACATTTTTTCCATTATTATTTATATGTATTACATTAAATAAATTTGAAGCTAAACCGGAAAGTAATGAAAGAGACATTTCTGCTTTCCTTCTCGATTCATCTAGAGAAACTTAGAAAAGTCTTCTTCTTCTTCCTTCTTCTTCTTCTTCTTCTCTTATACATGTTCCTTCTTCTTCTTACTTCTCCAGATTCTTAGTATCAATCATCTCTGCAAAAACGAACTATGGAGGAGAACGAGCGCTTGTCAATGAAGAGAAAAGATATAGACAGAGTAAACGATGACTTCTCAGATTTCTCCCTTTCTTCTCCAGCCAGGAAGATTCGTCGTCTGGTAAAAATCCATCAAAATCTCTCTCTCTCTCTTGAGTTTTCGTGATCATGATGATGAATTTATATGTATATATTGATTCAGGATGTGGATTTGCCACCGATTATGGAGGAAGAGGAAACTGATTTGCCGATGCAAGAGACGGCTGTTGAAGAAATTGAGGTTTCTCCGGTGAATGATGAGAGAGCGATTGTTCTGTTTAAACCTAGACATTGTCATCAGACCTGTTCTGGGAACTTATTTGTTGATAGAGATTTGATTTCTGGGTTTAAGAGTAAGTTTTTCCAACTGTTTATCAAATTAGGGTGTTGTGATTTGATTGAACCAATGCTTTAGGATTAGGTGAAGTTGAATAAGTGTATGATTCTTCTGAAATTTGTTAGATAGTGAGATAAGTTTCAGAACACAGTGTGTTGCTTATCTTGTAAGATTGTGAATAGACTTGAAGGGGAACCATGGGGACTATATTACTGTGATTTCATAGCTCATTAAGTAAAGCTGTGGAGCTGATAAGTATTTTCTATAGACTAAGGTTGTGTAGGATTCTGAAGTTGTTTTCAACAGCAAATATTCAGGTGCTTATGATGACTATAGACTAAGGTTGTGTAGGGATTCAGAGGATTAAGGGTCTTATAGTGTATATGTTGAGTCCATTTTTTTAACTTGGGGAAGCTTATGATGACTTTGCTGTGTCATGTAGTTTTTCTTCTATAGGAAGGCGTCAGATTTTGTTATGCTTCCTTTAGTTTGTTTGTTTTTGTCTGAAAGCCTATATTATCTTCTCACTTGTGATCCAGAATCTGGAAAAAATACTGATGGGTGTCTAAAATCTAAACTCTCAGTGTTCACATCTTCTGCAGATAGGTCTGACTTGGTTATAAACATTATGAGAAGTTTTGTTATGTCATGTAGTTACTCTGCTATAGGAAGGTGTCAGATCTTGTTAAGCTTCGTTTACTTTGTGTTTTTGATGTTTGCAAATGTCACTAATTGTCTTTGGGCTTGTGAGATTGAATCTGGACACTAAATAATGACAACCTCTCTTCTTTGCTTGTACAGATAGGTTCCTTCGTGATGCATCGAGAGCTGATGATGATCTCTATGAAGATCAGAGATCCAACAAGTGCCAAGCTGTTGTTTGTTGGAATCCTTCTCAGACTCCTTACTCACAGTCTGTAGGTACCTTCCAACAACCGCGTACACTAGAGATTACTGAGTTGGATGAGACAGGTGAGGATGCGGTAATGGATGACGCAGCCAGTGAGATAGATGAGGATAGTGGAAACACTTCTCTATCATTTCCTCAACCAGCGCAACAGCAGCTGCATCAAGAGCCCACCTATGGTTTTGGTTTGCATCAGTGGCAGCAACAACAGAACTGTATGATTCCACAGCTTCCTCAAGTTAGCACTACTCCCACTCCCATCACTTGGTTCCGATGATATGGCTTATGCCTGGGAGACAGTAGCCCATCATCAGCGAATGCACGGAGAAGTATAGAGTCAGGAGCCCATCATCAGTTCACGCACGTAGTAGAAAAGTAGAGGCAGATTTGTTGTTAGTTTTGTTCTGCGTTTTTGCGGGTATTAGTAGTTTTGTTGCTGTAAACCAAAACCACTGGCTCTTAGTTGTAGTTCTATGTTTTGGATGTCTTCAAAATAACATGACAGATTAATACATTCTAGCTCGCACGCTCTTGGACAAGTATTTAAGCATATATCTCAGTGTAAGCTATTTAGATACACAAACAATATTGTCTAAACTTGTTTCCTAATCAGCAGAGGAACTTATCCTTACCGCTAGTGTTAAAAATTGGCGTCACCTTCGGTAATTTTAAAACATTAAACTTCAGGTTCCATAAACAAAAACCAACCATCTTCTTCATAGAACTGTAAATAGCTTACACTGCATAATAAAATATAGATGGTATTCACAAAACAAGCTAACCACATGTCCTCAGTTTCTTCGATAAACCCAACCCAAAAAGCGAAAATGTTATCTATTTTCCGACGAAGAAAGAAGACGGGGTTATATACCAGCGAAGATAAAAGTTCTGACCCTTGTCTAGCTAGATTATCTATTAGCAAGTTCATCATTGGAGCCAAAGATCGATGCCTTTGATGTCTTTTTCTTTTTTGATGGTTGATCATGTGAAATGCGAAGTCCTGACTCAGTTGGCGTACTTAGCTGCAACGCTGTAGGATCATCTGAAGATATCCATGCCAGTGGATTAGCTGATGAAAACAAGACAACAGATATGTTCGAAAACTGTAAAAAGTTGGATTCGATATTAACCACAATAACAAAAAGACATTATTTTGTTGGTAAGTTCCCTAAGATACCAATGTAATCACTTGGGGAACACATTAAGCACACTGGCTGCGACGATCACATTAATAATCACATTCATACAGGTTCCCGACTCACATAAGTAGTTTGATTTGCATGGCTAACTAAAAAGAACACTCTTAGGAAAGAACTATCGAAACTACCACAATAGTAAGGTGGGAAATAAAGCAACATACCTTCTTTAGCTACATTGGTGTTGGAATTATCGCTGGATTCCATTAGTCGAGCTGGTCGCTTCCTCACATAGTCGTCCTGCAGAGGTTTCGGGATTTGAAAAGAAAACTGTGAAATTTTCACCCCTTGTCTTGTGTATTCAGGGTTGTCATTCAAGTACCTGCAAGCCATCAATGAGGTTTATAATGATGTAAAGAAGATGTCTATATGTTACTGAAAACAACTTGGTAACCACTAAACAATTTATAAATAACTAAAAAATCTTCTTTTACCATTGTTATGAAGTATTATAAATATAAAGATGATATCTCTCGTAAACAAAACATAGCCAACGCTTTATGTATTTTACATAGCTGCCTAACTCTACATTTCACCACAGGACAACACTTGAAATTTCAACAATATCTTACTACTGATTCTATATATAAGTTGGGGGAAATGGTAAGACACTACTACATTGATGCACTTATAATTATATATAACCAGACCTAATAGCAAATCACTCTATAGGAAAAGGAAATAACTAGATAAAAGTGCTACGAGAACTAAAATGTCGAAATGGAGTGATAGAAGAACTAACTTTTGGACCTCCACAGTTGATCGAAGCTTCTTTCCTGAAGGAGAAACATAATAGCTGAAACGACCAGGAAAAAAAGAGTTATCAAGAAACCCGATACACGAGAAAACAGTAAGTCGACATAAACACGAGAATGGTAAAGACATACACATCGGCAAATCTGGTACCACCTTCACCTCTAATCCTCAGTAAACGTTGCCAGCCAGCAGGCGGGCGACAGATGTTCGGCTTATCAATAGCCCAAAGACGGGTACCATCTTGATAGATATCAGCAGGAACATCACAAGACACATTTGGCTTCCACTCACACGCTGTTTCACAGATAAACGGGTTCTCAAGAAGATGTTCCCTAATCTCTTCATACTTCTGCATCGAAGGCATGAGCCTCCACTTGAAACAACTTGCACATTGGACAGTAAACGCCCCGATAGAAGGCGAAATCAACTGAGTTTTGGATGATGGAGGCTGAGGTGGAACTGGTGGAACTTCTTCTTCAGTATCATTACCCTTAATGTCATAAACCACCAGCTGATTCAAGCCTTTATCCTCGATAGGTGAAGACGATCCCGATCCTCTAGCTCGATAATCCATGTCAGCTAAGAAAGGGGTAACATTTCCTTCCTCCTTTATGATGTTGTCTTTGTTTTCATAGGACTGTGACATACTCATTACAAAACTACCTGTAATAACCCAATGTCAAGTTAAAACCCAAATAGACCAAACAGATTTAACAAGGATCATGCATCACAATAACACTAGCCTCTCTAAAGAACAGTAAACAGTAGAAACCCTCGAACGTTTCAATCTCAGAATCAACAATAACCATAGAAACAACGAAAGCAACAAGAACAATACATATCAACGAACAAGCCAAAGTGAGCTATAGGAGAGGGGAGATCCAAGAAAAAACAAAGAACCTCATTTCAATTTTTCATCGAACGAACCAAAACAGAGATTGAAAATATCAAAAAGGAAGAATCATTACACGAACAGACCAGGGGCTTGAGAGATCGGTGAGGGGAGGCTCTAAAGATGGTTGTAAAAGAGATGTCCGGTTAATTTGACAATCTCATTTTTTGAGACAGAGCCATTTCGGACAAGAGAAAGCTTTTAGATTTTGTTGGAATGGGGAAAACTGGGAATGAGAAGAGAAAGTATTTATTTTGCATAAAGTATTTGTTGTTACAAATGCTCCCATGGATAACACTCGTCGCGTATTGGAAAACGCAAAAACGCAGAATTTATGTTTTTATAATACTTTTTTACATATACAAATTAATTGCAATTGTACAAGTACTGTATAAGTAAAAGAAGAATTATTTATAGATAAACAAATGTTCCCCGTAACTGGTTCGTTTGAGTCAATTAATTAAAGTTTATAGAAAAAAGAATCACACGCGTTTGCGTATTGGAAAACGCAAAAACGCATAATTTACATTTTCACCAAAAATAATACTTATTTTAGACATATAAATTAATTGCAATTGTAAAAGTAAAAGTAAAAGAAGATTTTTTTATGTAAACAAATGTTCTGCCTAATTGGTTAATATGATTATGGTCGAACAATACCTGGAACACGTAGTGGAGAAAACCATCGATGAAGAGAAACACGAAGACGACGAAGAGAAGCACGAAGACGACGAGGAGAAGCACGAAGACGACGAGGAGAAACACGAAGACGACGAGGAGCACGTAGCCAAGGAGAAGCTCGAAGTGGACGAAGCACTAGTCATCCCGGAAGGTCCTCTAACAAGTTCAAGGCTCAAGAAGCTTAAACATCTATCAATGGCATTCTTAAAGAGTCAAAGAAGATTGAAGAAGTGGCTCAAGTTTCACTCGTAATGGTCTCGGCTCAAGAGGTTCAGTAAAGGGTTAAGTGTTGCTTATGCACTCTTTTTCCCTTGTCAAGTTTTGCCCAATGGGTTTTCTTGACAAGGTTTTTTAATGAGGCACGAAAACGACGAGGAGAAACACAAGACGACGAGGAGCACGTAGTCGAGGAGAAGCTCGAAGTGGAAGAAGCACTAGTCATCCCGGAGGTCCTCTAACAAGATCAATACTCAAGAAGCTTAAACAATCTATCAATGGCATTCTTAAGGAGTCAAAGAAGATTGAAGAAGTGGCTCAAGTTTCACTCGTAATGGTCTCGGCTCAAGAGCTTCGGTAAAGGGTTAAGTGTTACTTATGCACTCTTTTTCCCTTGTCAAGTTTTGTCCCAATGGGTTTTCTTGACAAGGTTTTTTAATGAGGCCAAAGTAACACTTTCTAAGGCTTTTATCAAACCAAATTCGTGAGTCCAAGGCCCAACATTTTGCCTTGGCCCATTTTCTATATTTTCTCTTCATTCTTGCATTTAATGTTTTTGTTATTTCCAAGACTTGGTGTATGAACTTGCATGAATGTATTTCCAAGGCACTTGTGCATAATCTTGCATGTTCTTCTTCTCTCTCATCCCCCTCTACTATATAATCCTCTCTACCTCTCATTTGTAACTCATCTAATCTCTTTATCAAAAACTCTTTCTAAAGTTAGATCACTCTCTCTTGTTCTTTTCTTTGGTGTGTAATATCCATAGGCAAGTCCAAGTTCGGTAAATCAAAGGCTCTTCCGCAATCTTTGTGCGACTATTCGCTCCACATCCTTTGGTCTAAGTGATCTCACGATCACTTAGGTGCAAAACCTATCCTTCCCTCAACTTAAAGAGTGTCGATTCTATGAGGATCGTATTATTGGTTCGCTTGAGTCAATTAATTAAAATAAAAGTTTTTTTTTGTAAACACCAAACTCACATAGATTGGCTTAAAGAAGCCAATTTGGGGACAATTGTTAACAAGCTTAACCGAATGCGGAAGAGCACGCACATTACGTGCCAAGCTATTCGCTTTTACATTCGCATTACTTGGAATAAGAGATAAAGAAAAAGTAGAAAATTTTTCCCTATCAATGTTGATATCTTTCGGGTATACAGAGAAAGCCGGTCACTCGGAAGGGAAAGACACCATCTTCACTAAGTATGAGCAGTCTGTTAGAAACGCAACATCTCTAAAGTCGTGGCTTATCATACATCTCATTGCCCACATCAGTGCTTCTACCTCTGCATGGAGAGGAGAAAGACTTCTACGGGGGTTTGAAGCTCCCAAAGTCGTGGAGCCATCCTGCAAGTGCTAACAAAACCACCCTAAGCTTGCATACTTGTCAGTATACTTCCATGATCCATCGATAAAGCATTGATATCCTGAAAAGACATAAGACAAGATAACCGGACGTCGTTGCCCCGGGGTCCTCGGCACCAAGGTCACCGGAGAAGTCGGAGAGGTTCCAAGATCTTCAACCTGAGCCGCCTGCCAAGCATCCGCTTCCGTCTTAGCGACTCTAGTCACCTCTTGAGAACACTGATCCAAATTTTCAAAAACTTCAGCATTTCGTGCCTTCCAAATGTACCATAATAGCCAAGGAAAGAACCCAACTTGCCCATCCCTTAAAGATAAGTGTAAGATATAATCCATATTGGCATATAATGACTCTGTGGGAAATTGAATAGAGCCCACAAGAATATGAGCCAAAGCCCAAGATTGCCTTGCAGGCGGACATTCAAATATAACATGGTTTACCGTTTCCACCTGAGCACCACATCGGGTGCAAACTTGGTCACAATTTATACCCCAATTTTTCAAATTAAAATTAAAGTTTATAGAAAAGAAAATCACACGCGTCTGCGTGTTGGAAAACGCATGATTTACGTTTCCACCTAAACTAGTAAAATTTATTATGAAAACAGTAAGTATATATGGGTGATTATTTCCATTGTATTTTTTTCTTTTTTTTACATATACAATTATTAGCGGTTGTAAAAGTAAAAGAAGAATTCTTTATGTAAACAATGTTCCACAAAACTGACTTGTTTGAGTCAATTCATTAAAGTTTGCTGAAAAACAAAAAGATTTTTTTATAATATATAAAATTTTCATAACTATACTCATTTTTATTTTCTTATTGAATTTTTATTATTTTACACTTACAAAATATTAGCAATTGTTAATAGCAAAAATTATCATATTTTAAAACTTTCACAATTATATACCCACTTACTTGAAAAATAAATTTTTGGCCCAATATCCCCTTTGGTGGACTTGGATCCTTTTTCAAAAAGCCCATTATTAAAGAAAGTGGACACATGTCTCCCGAGATGGCGAAGAAGGAAGAGAGCAAGGTTTTAGGAAGAATCAACCATCTCGCATGAGAACAAAATGGGAAGAAAAATGCTAAGGAGCTCGAAAGCTGAATGTTGACATTGGGGAATGCGTTAGAAAGAAGATTAATTTTGGATCATAAGACAAGCATTACACATTAAATACGGAATCAAAACGGGTGAATTAATTAGGGAAAATTGTTTTAAAGACAAAATCAAACATGAACTCTTTAACAATTTATGGTTTCATATAGTTCATTATATAGCTAAAATTCTTATTTATATTTTCCAAGAGATCCATTCCATTTTTTATTCCACTTAGATTTGAGAGTGTGGGATCTGGCTCCCAAATTTAGCGTCTTGTGTGGGGACGAAAATATCAGCTTCATCCCGCAAAATCATTACTTGAAGATGGACATCCCTACAATTATGTTTGAGCAAGCAACCATGTCTGAAACCCTTCAGGCTCTCCGGCTCTTAGGCAACTCAGGCTCTCAGGCTCTCACCTCCACCATATGTGATTTAGTAGCAAAATTTGCTGTTGTGGAAGAGGATCTTACATGTATTAGAACCACTCAAGTAAAAATTGGTTACAATCATGCCTTGGTTTAAACTCATTTGGATTCTCTGGTAGTAAGTGTAGCTCCAAGATATGTCACAACTTGATCTAACCAAAATCCACAACTCTAATACAACAGAGGAACGAGGAGTAAGTGCACTCTTCAAGTACTTTTATCAAAGATGTTAAGGACTTATAAGTCATCCCTTCAAGAACCCGGAAGAGATGAATAAATGTCATCATTGGAGAGGCAAAGTCGTATCCAGATCCAACATGCTCTACTTGCAAAAAAGTTTTTTTTGTGGTGAATGCAAGAGAAGAAAGATCCCTCAGCGTAGTCATCTCGAGGATAGTATTCATGGAGTCTAAGACTCAGAACCTTGTCAAACCGTATGACGATACGTTGGTAGTAACCCTCAGAATAGCCAATTGTGAAGTATTTAAAATCTTTATCGACACGGGGAGTTCAGTAGACATTATATTCTAGAGTTCCCTCCAACGAATGGTGGTGAAGAAACTAGATATAACTCCCGATTTTTGCAGCCGAAGTCTCAATAATGGTAAGCTTTGCGGCCCTTGACAAACCTCCTTCCGACAATGCTCTTTTAGGAACCCCGTGGATACATCAAATGAAGGTTGTTCCATCATTGTAAATTAGTGTGTAAATTTTCCAAATATCGAATGCACAGCAACAATTCGAGGTGATCAGGGAATTTCACGATCTTGTTACCGCTCTAGTTATCAGCTCAAAGATCAACATCGTGCGGAAATCCTCACCAAAAAAGAGCCTTATGTCTTTCCAAGGGTTGATAGGTAGAAATGAGTATGGAAATAAAGAGAAAAAAGGAGGGAAACAAACGACTTCTTATTGAATAATGACTGAGGGTCAGCGAGCTACAAATTGGACTTTGAGATTGTCGATCAGCTTCTACATGATAAATATAGACTTTTAAGTTGACTAGCTGAGTAATGTCATACGTAGCCATAAAGATAGAATCACGTAATATTTATGAATCGTTACTTCAATTAACTTTTCATTCCTTGAAAATAGGTCGACCCTTTAATAGCTTATGTGATATGACCTCCTCTTCTCCTTCTGGTCGATGTGGATAATCCTCCTTACCTTAATTTGAGGTAGTGATGGAGTAGTGACCCGCACCAAAGAATAGGAGTCAAAATAAAAATTATCGAGAAAATATTGGAAAATAACTCAGAAGAACAAGAAGAGCAAATTAAGGAGATGCATCGGGAGACTACGAAGAAATCTTTGTTTCTCAAAAACTGGTATGGTTGGCCAATGCAATATGTGAACGTTGATGGACCAAGGAAGAATTAAACCAACAACTAAGTAACTTTTATACGATCGAAATTCCTAAGAAGTACAAGGAAGAAGAAATATACCAAAAAGGAACGTGAATGGTCGAGTACGTGTGCGACCGACCATGTTCTATCTTGGAGGCTATCTGAATGTAATATTCATGATGATAACCAAAGACTCAATGATAAGTCCATGGTAAAAGAATTTTTGAAAATGCCGTAGAATTTTAGAAGAATGTTGAAGAGCTCTGATCCGCGATCAATAGAAGATCGAGTGAACCGATGAATTCAGATCTTTGATTGAGAATTCCTTGGTACTCGACAAATAATTTTTTATCTAGCCAATTCCCAAGAATAGGAGGAAAATGTTCAAAACAATGATTGGAGGCCACATGTCTGACACATACCACTTATTTCTCCATTGCGTGATGCTGCATGCTTTGCATGATTTTTTTTAGTAGAAATACATTATAGTTATTCATGATATAAAACGGATTGCATGTTAAAGCTGGGATAAGTTCTTGATAATTTCTTGCTTAAAACCTGAGTTCTATCACTTAAATCGACATGCATGCATATTTTGTTGATGAGAAAAATAACCTAAGTTTACTTGATGATTGTTTGCGATCGCATGTGAGTACTGCTTGAGTTTTCGATAAAGTATTTAATTCTTTTTGTTGTAATTAACTATGAAATTAATTTCAAATCTTTAGATCCAATTCTATTGTTGATAATATGTTCCTCGGCGATGGTGGTGTATGTCTTGTGTGTTAATCTTTTGTGGTAATTACTTCCATTTTGACCTAGCTCAGTGTTTTAGATTCGCAACTAGCTCGAGGTGCTGCATGGCGATGCGACTGTAAGTCTTATTTTGGTTTCCATGGTGGATTCAACACGGAGGTGTTCTTGGAACGGATCTGATTATCATGAGTCTATGGACTGAGATGTCTAAGTATTTTTAGTCCTTTCTTGATTTATTTGACTTCATTGTTTGACTAGTTCTTGTTATTGTCTTACTTTTACTAATGTTATGTTTACTTGATGAATTATGGGTTTCGCGAAGGGAATTAGAATGAATGATAGAAGGATACCCGGCTCATTGAGTAATCCTAGATTACTCAAAGCTCATTTTGTTTTGCAGATTTAGGTTAAGGAAGTCTAGGCCGAAGGAAAACACTTGGAACCAGAATAGGGTACTTATGTGATTTTGCAAAGCAATACTCTTTTATTATGTATTCTTTTACAAGGATCCAACAAATATTACTTTTGGTACCCTGTTTCAATGTAAACAAAATATATAAGTAATATAGAGAATTTTTAGGGAAATAATGCAAGTGAACTTATATTGGTCTTATCTAGGCCAACACAACACTCAAGAATGGGGAAAACGGGTAAAAGCAACCCAAACTATTCCCCGAAGGCATTTTCATACCCAAATTCATGTACTATGAATTTTAGAACCTAAACCAGCTTTCAATTCAAATAACCAACCTGAACCACATCAATTTTGGTCGATTTCAACATCGACGTTAACAATATCCCTGCCCATCTTGAAGATTTGGACAATCAAGCTTAAGCTTTTGTAAAACCCGAGTCCAGTTCTCTTGGTTTTTACAGAAGCTTAAGCTTGGTTTTTTTTTTAAGTTTATACTATTGATTTAAAAAATATAAGACTCAAAAATAAACATATTCTCGTTGAATGTTTTTTCACAAACACCTCAAAATTATAGTTTTCAGTTTCTCTTGAAATGGCTAGAAACTACTCAAAAATTAGTTTTCCTAAATTTAAGGGAATTTTTGCTAAAAAAATCTGGAATGGTTAAAAAATAGATTTTTAAAGAAGCAAAATCCAAAAACAGCCCAAAACTGATAAACATACAAGGTGACGATCTTCAAGCTTTTGGATTCATAAATCATAGCCAAAAAGGTGATTTATCTCTGAAATGGGTGTTTTGGACCAAAGATAACCAAACTTTAGTTAATGCCATACTTTTAAAAAAATTAATAAAAAGTAAAGGTAGGAAATTATTATGCATTAAAAACCTATGTGTTAAAAAAAATTCTAATTACTGTAACTTACAAAAAAAAGTTAGACAACTTGATAAAAGTTCCAAAAACATTAATAAAATCTATATAAACTTGCCAAATGGAATGCAAAGCTTTAAGAGAGAGAGAGAGATCAAAGCAACCAATATTGGCATTTGTATTGAGAAATCTTATAACTCCTATAAATTTGTGAAGACATATACATATGTAACTAAAAGTATTTTGAGATCTCACTAATTTTCATTAAAACAAATTTGTTGAAAACAATGAATCTTCTATTTATTTCACTCTCTTTTGTGATATCTTTTTATTTTAGGCCAACTGAACCTAAATGTCATAAAAACACTGTAGTTTTCCAAAATAATCTTACCATCAGTCATAGTATTCTCAAAATTCACTGCAAATCTAGAAGTGATGATCTAGGGTATCATTTTCTAAAATTTAAAGATCCTACATACAATTTTAGTTTTCATGATCATTTTCTTCTCACAACAAGATTCAAATGTATTTTATGGAAAGGGGCAAAACTTGAATATCATAAGAATTTTACAGCATATGAAGGAGATGAAGCCTCTCCTCGTGGTAGATGTGGAGGTTTATACACATGGGAAGCAAGAGATGATGCTATTTATCTTTCAAAAAAGGGTGTAATTGAGCAGCTCATGTATAGTTGGATTAAAGATTATTATTTATTCAATTAAGATCTTATTTCATATTTTCATCTTATGAGCAAATGATCTTGCCTCTTTTTATTGTTGTTGGTATAGACACCAAAATAGAATAAAATAATTGTATTGTCTTATGTTTACAGTTTATGAATCGTATTTATATTAACTTAAGAATTTACATCATATTTAGCATATGTGTTTTCAAAATTTGTAGTCTTATATTCAAACATCGACAAAACAAAATTGAAAACTTTGGACAACAAGTTCTTGTAGTTCATTATCCTCCTCATTGCCATGACCTTACGGTTACAGTGTGCTTTAACATACACGCACAAGAAAAAAGATGTATAAGTATTATCACAAATACTTAGTAAGGCGTCCTCCCATGAAAAAGGCTATAGACACAAGGAAAATGAAATACTAGGGGGGGGGGTGTTCAAAGTGGAATTTCAAGTGATTTGTAAAAAGTTTACAAATCTTGTGTTATTGAATCATGGATTTACTCATGAAATTCAGTGTTATTGAACTAATCATTTTAAAATCCACCTTAAAATATACTGTTATTGAAAACAGTTCGTGGATTTGATTTTAAAGGGCACTCAAACAAAACAATCAACAACCAACAATACGAAACAGAAAGCCAACAACTCCCAATCGGACTAGATGTCGATTGACACCTTCCTGGTTTTTAGTAACATATTTAAATAATTTAAATAACTTTGCGATTAATAGTAGTAATCAAAAGTAGCCCTTAACGAAGCAAATATCTATTTTCTAGAATCGTATCTGTATTATCCGTGATTTTAGAAACCGTATCCGTATCCGAAAATCCGGATATAAGTAAATATGTAAAGAAAACAGATATCCGTTATCCGTTTTTTAAAATTGTATTATTCATTAGGCATGACCGAAAGCTAACCTTAACCGTATTTCTAACCGTAATCGGACCGTTTATCAAGCGTAACCGTATAAAACTGTTAAAAATTGTAATCGTTAACCGTACAAGTAAATTAGTTACGGTTAAAAAAAATCTAACCATAATCGTTAATTAACCATAACCGTAATTAACCGTACGGTTACAAGCTCGGTTAACCGCATATTTTTAAATCCTTAAAATAAATTATATTATAACTGTATACAATGAAAAGACACATCGAATGTTGGATAATTTTTTCACCTTATTAAAAGTAACACAACAAGTTGAACTCATAAGTAATCAAATATTTCATACTAAACTATTTTTATTCTTATTTCCGTGTGTATTTGATGTTGAGTTTCTCAGTTTCGATCCAAAATCTAGATTTAACTAATTCACTATAAATATTTGAAATCACATATATTTTTTTACTAGTAAATTAACTAGTATTTCATAAGATTTTATTTCCAATATTAATATTATAATAATCATCAAATAACCGTAACCGTATTTAATCGTAACCGTAATTAACCGTAACTGCAACCATCTTACCCGTATATATAATAGTTAAAGTTATGGTTAAAAAAAATTACAACCGTTAACCAATGGTTAATTAACCGTAACCGTAGTCATACCTATTATTCATATCCGAAATATCTATCATTTTATTATCTATATATTCGATTTTCGAAATAAAACCGGATATCCGTGGATATGGTTTTTTTTAATCTCATGGCGAATTAAAGGTTTGAGTAATGTATTTGTATTACTGTATTTATATTACTGTGTTCCACGTTAGCGTTTCACGTTTGCGTTCCACGTTAGCGTTTCACGTTTGCGTTCCACGTTTGCGTTTCACGTTTGTTCCGCGTTTGGAGTTGGCACAGAATCCACCAAATTAAACCAAACCAAACCATTCAGGCGGAGGATTCAATATCTCACAGTTTAACACTCTCCATTTCAATCTCTCTCTCTTTCTCTCTCTCTGAGACGAACAGGTACGTCTTCTTCTTCGATTAGATCTGTTTCGATACTCACGAGGCACTTCCTCTTCATCACAATGCTGATCCTTCTTTTTTCTTAAACCAGGATTCTGCTTTCCTTCATTTCGAAATGGACGCCTCTATGATTACCACCAATTTCAAATCCATTGCTTCTCCACCCGTAATCACCCAACCTGAATTCGAATTCATATCCACGATTTCAATATCTACATAATAACATTGTTCTGTGATCTGTTTTGTATCTTTGATTTTGTTTTTATATACAGTCCTTAGTCCTGGGGAAGACAGGAGTTATCAGAAGTTCTTTATGTAACATAACGATGCCACAAAAGGTTAACTTCCCCAGGCAAAGAACACAAACTCTAAAAGTTAGCCAGAGGAAAGCCAAGAGAGCTACTAGTGGTGGTGCTCTTGGTGCTACATGCAGTGGTGGTGATAAGATTCTTGTGGCTAATCGAGGTGAAATCGCAGTTCGTGTTATCCGAACTGCGCACGAAATGGGGATTCCTTGTGTTGCTGTTTATTCAACTATAGATAAAGATGCCCTCCATGTCAAATTGGCTGATGAAGCTGTTTGTATTGGTGAAGCTCCTAGCAACCAGTCGTAAGTTTGATCATGTTATTTAATTGTTTAGGACATTTCTAGACCAGTTCATGTTATGTCATTGTTTAGGACATTTCTAGACCAGTTTCAGATCTGGTTGGATAGAGAATATAATCAATTCGTTTGTGTAGGTACTTGGTAATTCCAAATGTTCTGTCAGCTGCTATCAGTCGTGGTTGTACAATGCTTCATCCTGGATATGGTTTTCTTTCGGAGAACGCTCTCTTTGTTGAAATGTGTAGAGACCATGGGATCAATTTTATTGGACCTAATGTAAGTTTTTTAACTTCTCTTCACAGAAATTGTTTAGTAATTATTAAGAGGAAGATACTATTGATTTGATACATCTATGAGTGCAGTAATATGATTATCTGGTTTTCGTATTTTCTGTCTGTAGCCTGATAGCATCCGTGTTATGGGAGACAAAGCAACTGCAAGAGAGACAATGAAAAATGCAGGGGTTCCCACTGTACCGGGAAGTGATGGGCTATTGAAGGTATTTTTGCTGCATTATCAATTTAGAATTTTTAGTTTTTTGCATTTCAAGAGAATTCTTGGAAGTTCAGTATCTTATTTTGTTTTTATTACAGAGCACAGAAGAAGCAATCAAGGTCGCCAATGAGATTGGTTTTCCTGTAATGATCAAGGTAAATTTGACTAGATGTTACAATTTCTATTTCATACCTATTTTTTTTTATGTTAAGTCATAAACTGGATTCATCAAATTGGTCAGCTTGTCCCTTTGTACGTATTGATATGTTTATATTTACAAAAAGTGACTGTTCTGGCTTTTCTGGTTTCAAGGCAACTGCTGGTGGTGGTGGACGTGGAATGCGTCTTGCTAAAGAACCGGAAGAGTTTGTAAAACTGTTACAGGTATGACAATCATGTAAAACTTAGCAATGCCTGTAATATAAAATTTTCAACTATAAGTATGAGTTCAGGGATCAAGTATTGCATAAGTATTATCACAGATTCTTTATTTCTTTCTAACTCAGACAACATAAGTAGCCAAGAGTGAAAATTTCACTAAAAATTGGACTTCCCAGAATCAAACTTCTCTTAATTTGTTTGTTTACAGCAAGCTAAGAGTGAGGCTGCTGCTGCGTTCGGAAATGATGGATGTTATCTGGAGAAGTACGTACAAAACCCTAGACATATTGAGTTCCAGGTATGGTGTTTATCAGGAAAAGTTGTTCAAAACAGTTGTGGTTTTAGCAAAAGATGATTTCTAGTGAGTTCATGGTACAATGATACCATTATTGGATTTCAAACCTTTTCTTTTTGTACCTCTTGTATTTCAGGTGCTGGCAGATAAATTTGGAAATGTTGTTCACTTTGGTGAGCGTGACTGCAGCATCCAGGTATCTTCCTCCTAGGTTTTCATAATTTAATGACCATCAATTGTTGTCTAGCATACTGAAATCATTTGGTTCCTTTAAATATTTCTCCCCCTGATAATAGAGGCGTAACCAAAAGCTTCTGGAAGAAGCACCTTCTCCAGCATTGACCGCTGAATTGCGAAAAGCTATGGGTGATGCAGCAGTTGCTGCAGCAGCATCCATTGGGTACATTGGTGTTGGTACTGTGGAGTTTCTTTTAGATGAAAGAGGTTCCTTCTACTTCATGGAAATGAACACTAGGATCCAGGTTGAATTTTATTTTGACTGCAAAGTATATTTTATAAGTTGTTTGCCAAAGTTTACCTTTGTAACATATATATAAGCATATGAACTATAATGTCAACCATTTATTGAATCTAAACTCAGGTGGAGCATCCTGTAACAGAGATGATTTACTCTGTTGATTTGATAGAGGAGCAGATTCGTGTTGCAATGGGAGAGAAACTTCGTTACAAACAGGTTTGATTGTTGTATTATGTTATGTTCTGAGTGGATATCAAAAAATTTCTTTCAACATTTTTGTTTAATTACAGGAAGAGATTGTGCTCAGAGGGCACTCAATTGAATGTCGTATCAATGCAGAAGATCCATTCAAAGGATTCAGACCTGGCCCTGGTATGTTTCAGTAGACCTTTATATGTCTTATCTTTGAACTGAAAGCAGATTGGCATTCTTTACAAAACCGTCACTTTTACGATAACAGGCAGAATAACATCATACTTGCCATCTGGAGGTCCTTTCGTTAGAATGGATAGCCATGTTTATTCCGACTATGTTGTGCCTCCAAGCTATGATTCTCTTCTAGGGAAGGTATACTTCTCTTTTATATTTTCTGGATTAGCCATTTTGTATCTGATTTGTTATATGGGAACAAATTTTGAGGATTTATGGTAATATAGTTACTCTGGTGTTTTGGAATCTTAAACAAATATTGGAAGAGGCTTTGTAGGACTTATAATTCTAATGTGGTTTTTGTGTTCATCTGCCATCTATCTCAGCAGCTTACTTGAACTTATAGCTGATGTGTTGTCATTCATTTTTGAACCCTGAATCTTTTATAGCTTATTGTTTGGGCTCCAACAAGGGAAAAAGCAATCGAACGGATGAAACGTGCTCTTGATGACACTATAATTACAGGTATGAAGAGGACTAGTTTTTGTTACTTCCATCTTACTAAGCATTGTGTGTCTTGTTATTCGTTATATACTGCTTAAAAAGTCACATTTCGGTACATCGGACATGTGGGGGAATGCTAATCAATTTTCCCTGTCTTGGTTTCATCAGGGGTTCCAACGACCATCAATTACCACAAACTTATCCTTGATGTTGAGGTGTGTGAAATAAATAGCGCTATGTTAGTGAATCTTTTATCATGAAAATGTTGGCTTTCTGGTAATCCAATTGTTGTTTACAGGATTTCAAAAATGGAAATGTTGATACTGCTTTCATCGTCAAGCATGAAGAGGAGCTAGCTGAGGTAACTATGAATGTCTTTGTGGTCGGCTGAAGATATGACTGTCTCTAGAGATATATATTCAATTAGTACGCTTTTAAGTTATTTAGATATGAAACCTTGGTAAAGATGAACATAGAGATGGAAGAACTGCATAAGATTGATTAGTCAAATGATGGGTTCTAACATTGTTGTATTGTATATGCAGCCTCAAGAAATTGTGGCCGTGAAAGATCTGACAAACGCAGCGGCTTAGAATGATACATCAGCTCTGAAAGACCACCCAATCACTGCAATCTTCAACTCCTTTTGTGTTGTCATTGGTACAAACTTCGGTAATGATAAAATTGATTTACTAGAGCTTGTGGTTTGATCACTTTATGTGATGTTCTTCTTGTGTCATAACAAAGAAGAAACACTTTTTGTTTGTAGTCTTTTTGTTTGTAGTCTCTATGTCAAGATTATCCAATAATTTTTCATATATAGTAGATTATATGAACAAGGCCTATCACTATTAACAAAGTAACCAAAAACAAATAAACACAGGAGACAACAAAAAATCACGTTTAGGTAGCTCATCGTGGACCAGACACTTCCTGAGATGCTATGTAAGAAGCAGAGTGCCTAGAACCGGCGCTGTTAGAGCTCTCTCGCCGATGGAAGACCATAGTTTCACTCTCGCCATTTTGCCCTTCAACCATTGAAGACTCCGCAAACCGCAGCCCATAAAACCTCAAGAAATTCAACGACTCCATCCTTGGAATCCCCAACGGTATGCTTCCTTCGAACATCCCAACTACCGCTGCCATCGTTGGCCTCAACGCTGGCTCCTCGTGGACGCAACACAAAGCTATCCGAACCAACTTCTCAACCTCTTGGCTTGTTACCCGACCCTCTAGCCTTGGATCAGCCAGCTCCATATACCTCCCTTGTTCATGCATATCCAAAGCGTACAATGGGAAATACACCATACCAGTACTAGTGGTTGTAGTCGATGAGCTGTTCACATTATTCTCCTCTGTCACACTGTTGCTCCGAGATCGGAACGAGCAGTTTTTCCGACCACTCACTAGTTCTAACAACACCATCCCGTAGCTGTACACATCAGCTTTCTCAGAGATAGCTGTGTTTGTTATCCATTCGGGAGCTAAATAGCCTCGAGTACCTCTCATCGTCGTGAACAGACTCGACTCTTCTTGGCTCAGAAGTTTTGATAACCCGAAATCAGATAACTTCGGCTGGAAATGATCGTGCAGTAAGATGTTCTCTGGCTTCACGTCGCAGTGTATGATCTTCTGGTCACATCCACTGTGGAGATACGCGAGCCCACGAGCCGTCCCGAGCGCTATATCAAACCTTTCTTGCCATTCAAGTACCGGACCATTCCCGCTAAACAGAGTCTTTTCTAATGAACCATGGTTCATGTACTCATAGACTAAGAGTAATTGCCTCCCACGAGCGCAAAAGCCTCGGAGTTTCACTAGATTCGTGTGTCGGATATTTCCAATGATTGCGATTTCCGTGCAGAACTCTTGTCTACCGTGAAGCCCATGGTTTGTGATTTTCTTGACAGCAACGAGTGTTTCGTCTGGAAGAGTTCCTTTGTAGACTGACCCGAATCCACCTGAACCTATCTGGTCCTTGAAATTCTCTGTTGCTTGTTCCAGCTCTTCGAATTCGAATTTCTGAGGTAACCCCGGGATATGGAAAGATCCTAAATCTCCTGATCCAAACGACCCCGGTCTAGTTACTTGCTTCTCACGGATACTACTGTATCTCATCACTGCACATCTTCGCCACCAGATAAACCCTAATGCAATCAGAAGGAAGAAACCAGAACAAGGTAAGAGCACAAGTGCGATCACAGGAAACTTGGATCCTCTGCTTTTGTCTCCGGGAGGTTGACCATTTGGCTTTTTAATAGACAACTTAACATATCCAATAAGATCTTGATTGTCTGGTGAGTTCTTTACTAGAGACAAAGAACCAAACGAGTCCTTCACCAAATAACAAGACCGAGACGTGTTCTCATAGAAAACACCAAGACAGGAGCAATTCATACTGCAAAGATCATGACAAGCCGATAACGCGAGACCATGATCCACAGGATCAGTGAAGTGAGTAGAGAAGTAAGACACACCAAGACCAAGTTGGAGATACGAAATATTGCTTGCTTCACAAGAAACAGGTAAACTCATTGATTGGCTAACCGGAACACATACCTTCTTATCCGCATCCGACCGCATCTCTTCTGGACACGAACAACGCTGATTCTCCGAAGCATTATCAAGATTACAAAGCCCGAGCTTACCACACACATACGGAATCTGACAAGTATCCATAGGACCAGAGAACTCAGTCACAAGACTCTTACCGGAGAATCTACTGACAGTAAATTTACCGGAAGAATCCATCTTCGCTACGCGGAAATCAGAGGACGGTGGTAGCGCCACACGGACTACCACCGTCCCGTTCCGTCCCATAAGAGCTAATCCAGAAGTAGTAAGAGTTAAATACTCAACAGGGAAATTAGAATCAACATTAGCTCGTGTATGCATCTTTAGCTTCCAATAGTTCTGTCCTCTCCACTGCATCAAACCATCAGACACATCAACCAAGAACTTATAATCTCCTGTAGAGAAATCAGACCGTGAGACAGATCCGGACAAGAACTTCCCAACTTTGAGTCTTTGTCCTAGAACAATCGAGTCAGTGGGAAGATCAAAGCTTTCCCATAGAGAAACGTTTAACCGATCAAGCAAAAGGAGGTTCCCGGAGTCAGTTAACCGGAGAGAATAAACCGGAGAGGCTAAAACCGGCGTTGACCAAACGGGTATTTGACTTTTACCATCTTCAACAACAGAGATTCCTTGAGGTGTAAGATTCATTTTACCAGAGCTTGAAACAGGGGAATCTCGATTCGATGACCAGATTGTTGAACCGGAATCAACATGGACGACGGAGAAGTAGTAATTAGAAGATGACTCATCGTCGCCGGGTCTGAATAAACCGGCTTTGAAGATTGAGTTACTAGAGAAGAGGAAAGCTCCTTTGGAGCTATCGATGAATCTGAGGTTAGAAGCTGTGAAATTAGAGTAAACGAACTCTGTGCAAGGAGCACACGAAACAGAGACAAAGAGAAGATTGATTAGACTAAGGAACAACGACAAAAGAAACGTCGAGGTCATTAGAGGAACCACTTAGTTTCTTTTGCTTCTGTCCTTACAAGAACTGGATCATCGGAGATGAATCTGAATGAGTTCTTGTTCTTGTTGTTGTGTTGTGTTCTTTGGGTTTGACCAGAAGAAACTGTCTCTCTCTTTCGATGCAAATGTATTATTGGTGTGGTGGCCATTATCACCTTAGTTAATATTTTTTTTTAATTTATTTGGGAACGCAACGTTTGAATGCTTTGAAAAATACTAAGTATGATTCAGTAATCAATTGCGGCGTTCAATTTACTGAAGTAGGCTAGTTTTTTTTTTTTTTTTTTTCTTATACTAAAGATTTCAACTGCTATATATCGGATGTTTTTTAGCATATGGGTTTGGCTCAAATAGTACTACAATAAAATAGGTATGGATGTATTTAGCTTAAACCCGTTTTGCGGACAAATTTATGCGGGTTGGGAATTTTAGCGGGTTATGTTTGTGGGTTGGTGGAACGATTTGCGGACTATAAAAATTTGATTAAAAAGTAAATTATATCTATAAATAAACTATTTTATATAATTTTGAACATATAATATGTGAAATATGTAATAATGTAAAGTAACTTAATATTTTGAAATTAAAACACTTACAAAAGAGATATTTAAAAGTTAATTTTAATTTTAACTTTTAAAGAAATTAAAACACTTACAAAAGAAATCTCTTAGGTGCCATCATTTAAGGTTTTCTTCCAAAAATACCACAATTTGTTTTTATTTCTAAAAATACCATAGAAGTTTTATTTTTTCCAAAAATACCATAAACATAAAAAATTGATTCTTGAAGGTGTAGAATTATTTTTTAAGATGTTTGGGTTGACTATTTATATTTAAGGTATAGTTTTTAGGGATAGGGTTTAGTGTTTAGGATTTAGAAATTAGTTTTGAATGTTAAAAATATTAGTTTTAGTTTTGTGGTATTTCTGGAGAAGAATGTATATTAGTGGTATTTTTGGAAAATAAAACTTGTATTGGTATGTTTGGAAAAATATATATTTTCATGGTATTTAAGAGAATTCCCCTTCTTTTTATTTATTTTTAAAAATAATAAATATAATTCGTCGACCGCCTTACTAAACTCCTTAGGTTTAGCGAAGCGAGTTTGGACACAATATTTTTATCATGCGGTCCTAGACCAGCCCATCGCTGTCCGAAGGAATATAATACGTGTCGCAGGCATGTCCAAATGAATGCGGACCAGCGCGTTGATACAATTTTCCCCATTTGTTACTTTTTAATATTGTTCATTTTTATAAAAAAATTATACCCTTAACTAAGAACAACATTGGTTAATGAAATAAAAGTCAAGTTTTTTTTTTGAGAAAGATCTCCACTATTTTCAGTTTTCACTATTAGTTAGTAAGAGTGCAAAAAGAAAAGTGTGTAGCTGAGATTTATTTCATTACAATCAATTTATTCTCTCTCAAATCTCTCGTTGGTACCTCCATCTTCGTTGTTTGTACCATGGATGGTTGGATTGTGTTCATACTCAATGTTGATTTCAAGAATTATCTCCACTTACTTGATTCTTCAAAGTAAAATTAACCCAAATTGTCTGACTTCATGTGTTAGATTCTTTATAAATTTCTCGAACTCATTGATGTTATTCTTAATTGTTAAAGACAGATTTGGAGATCCAATCATTGCTTTTTGTTTGCCCACTACAAATCTTTTGAAGATAGTTAAGACTTTTCATTCATTCATGGCTACATGATTGACTCTAGTATATAATTTATTTATTTATATGGTATTTACGAAAGATATATAAAACCATAAAGTAAATGGTTTTTATAATTTATTTATATGGTATTTATGAAAGATATATAAAAATTTATACACATATAAAGGTAATTTGTGTTTATATTTATAAGTTTACACACACATTGGATAAATTTCAACATTTAATTGACTTTTTTGATAGAGTTTGAAAAAGGGTATTTTGAAAAATGGTATCTAAAAAAGGGTATTTTTGAAATTCTCTCATTCTTTTATATGATTTATTTTTGTGTAAAAAATAAATCGTCAAATCATTTATATAACAAAAAATAGTAATAATTGTAAACACATAATTAAAATTATGTTTTCAATAAAATTTATAAAAATATGAATATAAGACAAAAATGTATCATTATAGAAATTACATAGGAAATATAAATAACTACGACTAGAACATCATAATACATAAAGTAATACAATGTATCAAAACAGAAATATATAAAATATACATAATTTTGTATATAAAAAAGTTTAAGTGAGTTGTAGCGAGTCTTGATCTAGTCCAGATTTAATTGTATAACAGTTAAATAGAAATCGTTGAATTTAATCGAACAATCAAATATGAGAGTATTTTTGTTAAATGTAATAATAATTTATTAAATCACTACAAGAAAAACAGCGATTTCCTACGGACAGTTGCGTGAAAAAATGGTAGGAAACGGCCGTTTCTTACGATATTCCTACAACTAAAATGGTAGGAAATCGCCCGTAGGAAATCGATGATAGTAAGATATTGGTTAGAAAATCTATATAAGTACCAAAGAAAACGTTTTTTTTTAACAATTTGTACATGCAACCTATTTTCATTTTATCGCTTGGTAAGATATTATCTAGGCATGGGTAAAAGAACCAGGACCAATTTTGTGGAAGTTTTATGCTTCGACACTTTGCGCATTGTTTTATCAATGATACAACGAAGTATATCCTTAGTTATAAGTTCTCAAACATTTCTTGTGTGTTCATTTCTACCCATTTTCTTACTACTTCCTCAAGAAGTTTTTTTTTTTTTACATATAGAAAATCAAAATTTTATTCTCGTATAAGCAAATCAAAACTTGTATTGTATAGATTATGATTCAAGGGTTTAGTAACTCTAAACCCCAATATACATGTACCAATATATAAAAGTCGGTTAAATTATACGGTAGACACCACTATAGGTAGCAACAATGACCAAAAAAGTTTGCATGGCTCCATTTAATGTGTATATTTGTTTCCTTGTTTATGACTTGGACTTTCCTCTTCAAGAAGTAGAACTATGGTGGAAACTTGAATTATCATATCCATATTGTAGCTATGGATCACTCATAATCTACTGCAAAAGAGAAAATATAGTTTACTAACCAAATCGTATTTAAAAATCATAACAGGGGTGTTTAGTGGATTTATACATGTAGTGAAGTCGATGACACTGGGCTCCTTCCTGGCAAAGACCGTTGGCTTTAGCCATAGCTAATGTTTTCTTCAGCTAGATCACGGAGTTTGTTAAGCACAGGCAAAATAACATTCCCTAAATCAGGTCTATCTTTACGTCTTAATTCTGCACATTGTAGAGCAAGTTTTGCTGCAACCAAGGCCTCTTCGAGTGGCCAGTCAGGAACAGTAGGGTCTAACATCTCAGCAAAAGTTCCCTTTTCTATTGCCCTTTCGACGTGATGAGTTAAACCCATTGGTGGCTTAGCTGTAAGTATTTGCAAAAGCATAATGCCAAACGAGTATATGTCTGATTTAGTCCCCAACATACCGGTCTGTTGATATTCGGGATCTATGTAAAAGAATGTCCCAGCAGTTGTAGTCATTCTATATTGGGTTGCAGTGTCAGCAACAGATGGAGGGACTAGCCTGGCCAAGCCCACATCTGAGATCTTGCTGACAAAATGTTGGTTAAGTAATATGTTTCCTGGTTTAAGGTCACGGTGCACCAAAGGCTCCGGTTTCATCTGGTGGAGGAAATGAAGTCCGGTTGCGATTTCAGCAGTTATGCGAAATCTTAGCTGCCAAGAAAGGGTTGGAGAGTTTCCTCGTCTGAAGAGACAGTCTTCCAAGCTACCATTGGCCATGTACTCGTAGACTAAACATCCATATTCTGGACAGGCACCAAGCAGGAGAACCATGTTTGGATGTCTCATACATGTTAATACTTCAACCTCTTGTTGGAACTGAGACCTTCCATGTGCAGCGTCTGGTCGTAGAACTTTTATTGCCACTTTGGTATAATCTAGTGTACCCTTGAAAACAGGTCCATAGCCTCCCTCTCCGATCTTGTGACTAGGTGAGAAATCTTTTGTGGCTTCTTCAATCTCTTCAATGCTATATTTTCTGTACCTTAAATCAGTTTGCTTTGAAGAAGACATCGCCCTCTTCTTTCCCTCTATAGATTCAATATGCTTTCTCTTTTCAGCTTCAAGTTCTGATACCTTTTTAGCTGCCATTGCTGCTTCCATGGCTGCTCTGCTTCTTTCTTTCTCACTTTCTGCCATTGCCATTGCTGCTTCCTTAGCAAGTCTCACCTCTTCTAATTTATGTTCTTTATCTGCTCTCCACTTGTATAACTCATTAGCCTGAGAAAATATCAAAAAGATTATAAGTTTGGTGAAAATCTGACTGGATATTAGCGTTTTTTTTTTGATGAAAACTCCAACATACCGCCTTCTTTGCAGATATTGCTTCCTTGCATGCACTATTATACATTTCCATTGTATACTTTAGCTCCATTTTGAGCCTTCTCATCTCAGCTTCCATCTCATCCTATCAGATATTAGATTACATCAATGGTAAAAATATGTAGGTGATATGGTATGAAATAAGTGCAAATACCTGGCACTGTAGTGAAAATGATTGTCTCCCACTTTCAAGGGAGCTTGAAGAGTGTTCTGCATATGGTGAGGTAAGATCTATAGACTCCTTCCCTGATGAGTATGATGTAGCAAAACTTGATCGATTTTTTCCGTACTCAGAACCAACTGAGAGCCATGTAATATCCACATTTTCATACAAGGAAGGAAACATCTGATCCATGCTCGGTCTTCCACTACTCACAAATGATATGTCAGACTCTGTGATCGATGGCTGATAAATGCTTTCGTATTCTCTTCTCGAAAAGGGAGACCTGTACAACATGTGTGGTTGCCATAAGTAAAAATTTATCTTATGAACAAGAATGAAAACAAGTCATGTAGATAACAAATATATACTTCATCTCAATCTTGATCTCGTCTTGTTCTCTTTGCATTGTTTCTTGTCTCCTTTCAACTGCAACATGAAATCGATTTTACTGGTTAAAGCAAAATTAAATTAATTTTCATGATATGTCCTCGAAATAATTTTGTCGTATATACCATTAAGATTGCCCATCTGAGCGTTTACATGGTACCGCATAGTGGAACTCGGTGGTGAAGTTGTAGCTGATTTCAAAGACGAGATTTTCCCTTTTGAGATTACATATACTTTACAGAAACTTGGTGCCTTTTTCATGACGGTGCTTGAAACATCCGCTGCTTTGAACCTTCTATCAAATAGAGTAAATTATTAGATTGTGGGCTTACAACCTAAAACCAATTGGCAATGAGTGAAAAGACCCATATATCTTATATACTAGTCATGATCCTACTCAACTTCTAGTGTGCGATATATATCCCTAATACGCCCCCTCGAGATGATGGTTTTTTTTCGCCATAAATCGATATGTTCGGGCATGAATCGGTGGGCCAACTATGGGCCAGACCGATTTTGGATTGGGTTGAGTATGTGCGTACCGGGCTTTGATATCATATTAGATTGTGGGCTTCCATTTTAAAACCAATTGGCAATGAGTGTAGAGGCTCATATATCTTATATACTAGTCATGATCTTACTCAAATTCCAATGTGGGATATATATCCCTAATATAAATATATAAATGTGCTCAGATTGAGTCTTAAATAAGGAGAAAAGCATTTTTTCTAATTACCTTAAAAGATTCATCTTCGATGAACCAAGTACTAGAGTCTCAATTCCATGTTGTTCTACATAGTCAAGTATTCCTTTAGCTGCACTAACGTCCTCCACAACCACATCTTGGCAGTTGATCTGTCATAGGAACGAGCAAGATTCAGTCAAGAGAAAAAAATATGATTGACAAGATAGAATGTAAATCAAAAAACATACATCTTTTCTAGCACAATAGCAGCGGAAGGGAAGAAAAAATTCTGATACATCATCGTTTGGCTTGTTCAGGTTAGATCCTGCATTGAATCAACTTTATCTTAATACAAAGATCAAATGACATAATAACTCAAATAAAGAAGTTCAAATGGAGAGTTTTGTTTTCATACCAGAATAGGGAAGGGAAGAGGATTGTTTGAGTTTAACATGAAGAAGAGTAATAGTTTGGCCTCGACTAAGAAGATTGTTGACAGCCCATTTCATCACGTTTTGGCTCTCTTTGTCTTTATCGACTGCCAAAGTAACATTTTCTTCTCCTTTCTCGCTGATTTTCACCATTTTCAACTACTTCTTCTTTCGGTTTCGTTTTACAACAAACAAATACTCAATGAGTTTATATATGAATGAAATTTTAAGAGAAACGTGTTTGAATATGCTAATATTAGCAAATGCATCCCAACAGAAAAAACTTTGACTCTCTTTCTAATTGTCTCCCTATAGATGTAACCAACTTCATAAGTCCATCGTGACTTTTCTATTTTCTTTTGTTAAGAGTGGAAGTTTCATTGGAAAGTTATCTTTTTAATTTTTTTTTTAATTCATATAAGAATTATAAAAGTACGTTTTAGAAATTAAACAAGAATAAGTGAGTGTATATTGATCCAGATAAGATGACAATGAATATATCTGAAACTTGTTTTTTTAGTTAAAAACTTGTTTCAAATATACCAAGTTTGGGTTTTGGGTTTACGAATATAGACAATGGGGTTGTTGAGGTGATGAGACAAACAATAAAACAGAGAATCATGTATGGATGTTGTATAATGTAATCTTAAAAGACATCACTAGTCAGCAATTAGAAATTTAAGTTTCACCACAAACCTATTTTTGGAATGCTTTTGATGCAAAGCCTTCTCTTTACCATTCATATTTTTCTCTTTTTTTCTCTCTGCTGTGTCAATCCAACTCAAGCTGTACAACCACATTGCCCCCTTCTCAAAGGTTCCCTCAAGAGGGCGCGCCTCATGCCTCCCATGCAGGCGTGGTCCCTCAGCCTATACAACATTATGGTACCACTAGTGTGTCTCCTCCTTCTCTTCTCCACAGCCACTCATGGTCTTTTGGATTCCGAGGCTATCCTTAACATAAAAAAGTCATTAGTTGTTGGGCAGACAAACGCGTTGGCCTCTTGGGATGCTAAAACTCCTCCATGCACTTGGCATGGTGTCTTGTGCAATAGCGGCTCTGTTTGGGGACTGCAGTTAGAGAATTTGGAGCTTTCAGGTTTTATAGACATGGAGGCATTATCTGTTTTGACATCCTTGAGGACTCTAAGCTTCATGAACAACAAGTTTGGAGGGCCATTCCCTGAGTTCAAGAAACTCGCGGCTCTCAAGTCACTTTACCTGTCTAACAATCAATTCGAAGGAGATATACCAGATAATGCTTTTGAAGGTATGGGGTGGTTGAAGAAGGTCCATTTGTCACAAAACAAGTTTACCGGTCAAATCCCAACATCTTTGGCCAAATTACCCAAACTTATAGAACTAAGACTTGACGGGAACCAATTCACTGGACAAATACCAAAATTTGGACATGAGCTGCACTTGTTAAACCTTTCAAACAATGCATTATCAGGTCCAATCCCTGAGAGTCTCAGCATGATGAATTCAAAGGTGTTTGAAGGTAACAAAGGCTTATGTGGAAAGCCGCTGGAAACACAATGTGATTCTCCTTTTAAAGAACTCCCTCCACAAACTGAGGTACAACCCAAATCATCTTCAAGCGGGCCTCTCATTACAAAGATAATAGTCACGGTGCTAACAATACTCGTAATCTTTGGAGTGGTCATCTTTTTTAACTGCGGCTATAGGAACAAACAACCTTCTTTTCCGGTAGAAACCGGACCATCAAGTCTGCAAAAGAAAACTGGCATCCGAGAAGCGGACCAAAGCCGTAGAGATAAACATAAATCCGATCATCGCACTGGCTCAGGCACTGCTACGCGGATGACTACATCAGCTGGAGTAGAAAATACAAACCTTGCGTTCTTGAGGGAAGATAGGGAAAAATTTGATCTACAGGATCTACTTAAGGCTTCGGCTGAGATACTTGGAAGTGGATGTTTTGGAGCATCCTATAAAGCAGTGCTATCAAGTGAACAAATGATGGTCGTGAAGAGGTTCAAGCATATGAACAATGCAGGGAGGGATGAGTTTCAGGAGCACATGAAAAGATTAGGGAGGCTAAGGCATCGTAATTTGCTTCCCATTGTGGCTTATTACTATAGAAAAGAGGAAAAACTATGGGTATGTGATTTTGCTGAGAGAGGAAGCTTGGCTGTTAATCTCCATAGTAAGTCTTTGTTATTTCTACACTTTAAGTCTCTATGATGTATTGGAACTTAAGAGTCAAATTTTTATAGGTAATCAATCATTAGGAACACCAAGTTTGGATTGGCCAACACGATTAAAGATCGTGAAAGGAGTTGCAAGGGGGTTGTTATATCTCAACAATGATCTACCAAGTCTAATGGCTCCACATGGTCATCTCAAATCCTCCAATGTTCTCCTCACCAAAAACTTTGAACCACTTCTCACAGACTACGGCTTAATTCCATTGATCAACCAAGAGAAGGCACAAGTGCATATGGCAGCCTATAGATCCCCTGAGTATTTGCAACACCGACGCATCACCACGAAAACTGATGTATGGCAGCTTGGCATACTTACCTTGGAGATCCTAACGGGAAAATTCCCAGCCAATTTCTCACAAGGTAGTGAAGAGGATTTAGCGAGTTGGGTGAACATGTGTTTCCATGGGGAATGGACACCAAATTTATTTGATAAGGAGATGGGCAAGGTATGTCATCATGAAGGACAGATTCTCAAACTTTTGAAAATCGGATTGAGCTGTTGTGAACCAGACGTGGAGAAAAGGTTGGACATAGAAGAAGCTGTGGAGAAGATTGAGGAGTTAAAGGAGCGGGAAGGGGATGATGACGACTTCTATTCAACGTATGTGAGTGAAACTGATGGGAGGTCATCTAAAGGAGTGTCAAGCGAGAGCATCAACTTGACGTGAGAAGAGACATGAGTTTGCTCTTGTGCTGTATAAACAATGAGACATGAGTGAAACTGAAGTAGATTAAAGAGTGATCTATGTTATATTGTATAATGTATCTACAACAAACATGACACACAAATGCATGAATCTCATTGATTTTTTGTGCTCTTCTCAACATAACACATAAGTAAAATTAGTATCCTATCAAAATATTTTATTTAGTACAAAGCATATTGATTAACCATTAATAAAACAATATTTTTCTAGCTAAAATTAGTATCCTAGCAACGAATAATTAAAATGATTGAGGAGCAGGTACAAAACAAATAACCAAAATAAATATAATATATAGTATAAAAACAAAATATATTACATTTATAAAAACAAAATTGGGTATGATTTGTATATGATTAATTAAATAATAAATAATAACTGAATAATAATTTGAAAATAATTTAAAAATAAAATGAAACAGAAATAATTATTACCAAAGTTAATTAATTTTTAGTGTTTAATAATCAAATTTCATATATATAGGGATTGATACTTTTTTATTTTTTTATTCTTTATGTGAGTTTGTTTTTCTTACCCACCCGCTACCGTCTTCTACCGAAAACGTTTGCAGAAAAAAGCATTTGAATTATAATTATTTCGAGAGGTTCAGAACGGTATAAACAATCAAGCTCTAAATCCAATACATCATTTTAGAAACACGAGGGCATTGCAATAAAAATTTTTTTGTTTAAGATGCTATAAGGCTAGCATCAAACCTATATTAGACAAAATATATTTAGTGTGTTTATTCAATACTAACATCTTAAACACACCAAAATCCTCTGAAATCATTTAAAATCAAATCCACAAACTGTTTTCAATAACAGTGGATTTTAAGGTGGATTTTAAAATGATTAGTTCAATAACACTGGATTTCATGAGACTTTTTAAAATTCATGATTGAATAACACTGGATTTGTAAACTTTTTACAAATCACTTGAAACTCCACTTTCACTTGAAACTCCACTTTCACAAATCACTTGAAACTCCACTTTCACAGGTGGGATATGAAAGGATTTTACAATAAATTATATGCACTTCCCTAAAATCATCAAAATCATATAAAAACTAAAAACACAAAAACTCAAATCTCTTAAAATGATACTTTGAATACATACCCCTTAATCAAAAATATAATTTTTAATGAATTTTGGTTGGTTTTAAAGTTTGGTTTTATATAGTTTGGATTCGGTTTGGTTCATAATCAAGTAGTTTGGTAGGAAAATTTACATTATAATCGGGGGTTTTATAGTTAAATTCAGAAAGTTTGGATTTATAAATTTAAGGGGGATTGAAATATTGTTTATTTCTTGTCTTCTTACAAATATTATTGAATCTTTGAAAAATGAATATTTTTAGATTTATGGAAGAACACAACTTCAAGACGCAAAATGTAGTATATCAATAGATTTTATAAAGTTCTATATGACTTGATCTTTAAATAAAATCTAATAATTTATTCTTATATATATACTATATCTAATGTAATAAATCGATAACAAGAAAACAATTTTCTACTTTATTTTGTTCATAAAAAAATGTTATTTAAACGAAAATTACCTTCCTTTTGGAGACATTTTATCAAGAAAATACTCATGCGGTACGTTAAATTACTTACACACCACTACTCTCTCTTACGCTAACTGCTTCGGAATGAGCTCACTTAAAAAAAACATTTGTTACTAATTATTTTTTATTTTATTATCTGAAAAAAATATCAAAATATAATAAATTGGAACTCACCAGCCTATCAAAATTTAAAATCAAGCAGGTGACAAGTGCATTTAATGTAAGTGTATATTTATTACGCGGTTGAATATTTGAAAATTCTGTCCAACTTTTAAACAATACCATTAGGACACATCTATTGTTGCACCGACCACGGTGCTTAAGGTGGGATATTCTTTGGCAGCCAAATATCAGAGGAAATTATCATGTTCATTAATAGCATCTTCATATACTTCTACGCACACGTAATATGTAGAATTAATATCTTCTGAGTAGCCTCATGATGACTTAAAAAGCTTCACCGTATCTGAAATATAGCATGCTTGATAATTGATCAAATATTTTATGAAATCTAAAAAATCTAAGCTAGCAATTTTAGGAGTTGCTTTAAGAATCGCAAAACAAAAAGAAGAATTCATATCTTTTTTGGTGCATATGGCCTCGATCTCGATTTTGTTAACCATATACTAAACTTTGCATATGATGATGA